GCCTCTGTATACTTACACATAGTTATCATTCTGTCACACGTTGCCAGTGAAACTTCTGTTCACCCATCACAACCAGATCAAATGATTCACTATCTGTGGACATCTACCTTCTTCTGTCCCGAAGAAAAAAGTTTGTGGTTTGTGGATGCTGGCAAAAGCGCTAATTCTGAGGTCTGAAATTCTCTTGCTTTCAGGTCCCGGGGGGGGGGGGCGGGGGAACGGGGGGGGGGGGGTAGGGGGGGCAGTGTGATGCACCCAGATGAACGTACACAATGGGATTTGAAGCAGTTGAGAAACATGGAGCTTGGAAATCTACTTCTTTTATACTTTTTAGCCTTTGCTTTTGTAGTAAACAAACTTGGTTGTTTTTTGTTTATTTTTGTTGCAGTGAGGTTTGAACTCAGCTACTACTCAGCTATGCTATCAGCCCATTTTTGTTGTAGTTCTTTTGCAATTAAGGCCTCTCTTTTTGCTCTGGCCAGCTTTGACTATAATTCTCTTACTTAGGCTTTAAAAAGCAATAAGGCACTGGACTCATAAGGCTCATGTGTGTAATCCTAGCTACTCAGGACTCTGAGGATCATGGTTCAAAGCAGGAAAGTCCATGAGACTCTTACCTCTGATTAAGCCCCTCAAAAAGTCAGAAGTGGAGCTGTTGCTCAAGTGGTAGATTGCTAGCCTTGAGCAAAAAAGCACAGGGACAGTGCCCAGGCCCTGAGTTTAAGCCCTAGAACAACATGTGCGCACGTGCGCATACCTCCCACATCCCCACACAAAGACACAAACCAAGTTCTCATTCTATGCCTTTGTTTTGTTTTCAAATATTTAGTAAGCACTGAATGACTCAATTGCCTACATTTACTCCTTTATATGGGTACAATATATCTAGTATTGAACAAAATACTGCTTCTGGATAAATCACTTAAGGAAGTTTTTTTTTAACATGAAGAACTCCATTATAAAACTGATTTGTTCATGCATTATATTACGGTATAATTCCAGAAACTAAAAAACCAAAGAATAAAATATTACTTTACAAAGCCAAGGTGAAGTTGAGGGCAAAATCAGTATGTATCAACTTAGTTTTATTACTGATATAAAAGAAAACTTCAAATACTGTACAGTGAGGTGTGCCATAGAACACTATACACTGTTGTACTATTACCAATTACTCATTATTCAATTTTAATATATACATCAGGAAATAAAAAAATAACAAGCAAAAACTAGTGCCATAGAGATATAACATTTATACTATTGTACTGAGCAGTTGAAGCCTTTGCTATTTGCTTTTTTCTAAATATTGACACTATTACTGCTTATTTCTAAATATTCCCAGCATTTTTTTCCAGTTCTCAGCATTAATTCTTAAAGTCAAATAAACCTGAAGATATTGATAACCTTTTCAGTCTTTATTGCTCTACCACAGGCATAAAGGCTCAGGGAGGGATTTCTGCACTCTAAAGACACATATGCAATACCTTAAAATTTAAAATACTAAGTAATTGATACTCACAAGCAGATAATATCAACTAAAACACTTTCTTTACTAGTTTTTCCTTTTCTTTTACAAGAGAATAATCACTGTATTAATATACTACAAAAGCATGTAGACTCCATAATTAAAAACTTTAAATGTCAGATATACAAGTACTGGCATTTTCTCCAATAATTCACAATTTTTACAATTTCTGTTGGAACAAATGTTTAAATTCTCACAATTAAGTACCATTAAGTATGAACTGAAACAGTATCTCAAAAGAAATACCAAGAATGGCAGAACTCAGCCTGAGCATGGTGGCACAGCTACTTGGGAGGCAGAGATGGGAGGACAGAGGTCCAAGATGGACCAGGTCAAAATTTTAAGTCCCTGTCTGAAAAATAAAGTAAAAAGGGCTGGGAGTGTGTGGCTCAAGAACAAGTCCAAGGCCCTGAGTTCAAATCTCAATACTGCTTTAAAAAGGCAGAACTTGCAATGAACTATATCTTAACATTTGTGATTGTTTTTCCCATTATTGTTTCCTTAAATGTACATTTTATTTTTGTAGTTATTATGAGTTTTGGTTTGAAAAACTACCTCTTACATTATGAAAAGCCTCAAGGTGGAACAATTTTGTTAAATTATATAATCTTGAATGGTAGGGAATCTCTACCCAATTTAGAATATGTAGTTCACTATTACTGTTATAAAGTCACTTAAAATTTATAGAGTAAAATTTGAGCCAATTTTACTAAGGCTATTTTTATTAAAATCTTAAGATGAAGCTCTTTGAGAAAGAGGATTCAAAATTTTCACTGCAATATTTTTAAGTTTGGGCCAGTTAAAGAACTGTTGACAAACGAGGACAAAACTGTACTGATATTTTGAAATAATCACGTTATATTATCACTGCATTGACCAAGTGAAGTAAATTAATGACAGAAGTTACACATTTATTTTCTACCTAAAAGTCAGTTGTTACTAAGGTTCAAATATTTAGGTAAATGTTCACTAGCAGTCTTAGCAACTACCTACAAAAACAACAGTTACAAAATTTGCACTTAGTAGTCACTAATATGAGATATGCCAGTAAAATTCTCAAAACCTGTAATTAACAGTATGAGTTGCTAGCAAGTGTTCTTCCCTGAGGTAAGAGACCCTGTGCCAGATACACTGTTCATTTCAAAGGAAGTTGATAAAAAAAAATAATGGTTATAAAGACCTATGGCTGGGAATCACAGATACATTACACACTGATAATGTAACTGTCAGCAGTAAGGCTTGATTGTAAAAGCCTAAGTAAAAATCTATAGAAAGATCTAAACCAAGTTTTTGTCAATAACAACTGACAAATAACAACTCTGGCTCCTTTCCCTACCTGAGGCTGGCCTGAGTTATCCTCCCACCTCCTCTGTAGCTGGGATCACATACAAGGTCCCGCTGTTTTTTCTGTCTGGGCTGATCTCAAACTTCATTCTTCCCATCTCAGCCTTCTATGTAACTTTCAGGCCTTTATTCTACCATTTTCCAATAAAATAACCTGAAACACAGTTTGGCGCAGGGGTAATCAACTGTGGGTTTGCTCTTTAGTTTCTGAGTAACCATTCCCTTGACATTAAAGTCTACATCATAATATTTGGCAATGTCTTGTTTCTGTCAATTTTAGCTATCTCTGATTTTATCAGTATTCTAGACATATTCCACCTTTAACTACTTAGACTTGGGGCCATCAACCCAAACTTGGTATGAGCCACTACAGAACAGATTATGAAAAAAAAAATTTTTAAATACCGTTTCCATGTTCAGTTATAATGTTATAGCCAGGAGTAAAAAATACTGTAATTGCGATCTCTTATATTCTAAGATGCAGCAGTTATCACAAACGATAGTACTAAGAAATAATCAGTCATATAACTGTGAGGACATTTAAGAACTCAAAACTGTCCTAAAACTTTTGTGAGGCCCACACCTGCAATGCCAGCAACTCAAGGGAGGAGAGGGTGATGTTTAAGGCAAAACCAAACAAAAATTAATGAGGATCCAATGTCAACAAAATAGCTGGGCATGATGGTACATGCCTGTAATCCCAGATATGCAGAGGGGATATGGCTGCAGTCCAGGCCTGGACAACAACAACAACAAAAAGTGACATGCTATTTGAAAAATAACTAAAGCAAAAAGAGCTGAGGATGTAGCAGGCCTGAGACTCTTGAGTTCAACTCCGGTACTATCAAAAAAGAAAAGAAAAAGCCTTTGTAAAGATACCTGACCCACTTACTACAAACTGCTACTTTGTTAATATCCCACTCAAATTTTCAACTAAGTTAAAATAATTTCAAGAAATCTGACCACTTCTCAGAATCAAGCCTTTTATTCTTTATCAAGGGAGAACTCAAACTGTTAATGTACTATTCTGTTAATGTACTATTCATACGCAGCCAGCTTCTAAATAGCATGCTGTTGCTACAGAAAATAATAAATTATTATCAGAAATCAAGCCCATCTTTTAATATTCATATTTGCATTATAATTTACATGAATGTATTTAATAGGGAGATAAATTTTCTTTCTTATATTTTTCATTTAATGTTTTAAGATCCTATTTGACAGTTATTAACATACCAAGCCATGGGTACAGAAAATATTAAAAAAAGGTGATCATATAATTTACTTGGAAGCAATGTTTATTTTGCTATTGAACAGCTTTCCTATACTTAAAAAAAAAGGAAAAAATGTTTTAATGGCTAAAAAAGCCAAAAATAGAGTGGTAAATGATTTTTGTAATTTTTGGTTTAATAAAGAAGCTAGACTAGCTATACTAAGTGTTAAATATTATTTGGTAGCTCTCTTACTTAAAGCAAAACTAGAGCACAATTTAAAGGTTCTAAGTCTTGCTATTTTGTTATAAAGATGCTTGAAAGTAAATTTAGAAGAATGAAAATAAAATACTGCAAAAATGTGGCATTATGATAAAAACAAACCCAAATGTATATATGTATATATATATTTATACACACATATGTATATAAATATATATATATATACCTTGCTCAGATAAAATTATAAAATGTCTGGATTCTCCATTCTTTCCTTATTTAAAAAATGGAGTAACTTAATAAGTGGATTTAGTTCAAGATACTTTCATAAAAGAAAACCTCCCTTTCTGAAAAAACAAATTAAAAGTACTGCCTACTTTATGAACAGATAGATTTTTAAATACCTAATAATATAATTTCTGGTGTACAGTTTCTTAGAATTGCAAACAGTTCTGCATTTGTTGCATGTGCAAACAGAGACAGCCAGGCTTTGAAATGCTCTAAAGTTAGAGACTGTATTACCATACATTTTTCTCTCATCCATTCAAATTCAACTTAATTTCAGTAAGCAGAGGAAGAAAATGGATTGAAATGTACATTTTAGAATACAGGTTTGTAGAACAGGATAAAATAGTGCAGTATCAGTCTCAGGATAAACACTCTTGTCTTTAAGGAATAAGTATAAAAGCTGCTTCTCAAAGACTCTGGCACTAACGATTTAATGAATATACTACTTAAGCAAATGCTCAGGGTATGTTGCAGTAAAATTTGCATCTAAACCCAAGTAAAACCAACAAACAAAATCGTATGGATGCTTAAGACAAAAAGGAAACATTTTTGGTTCAAAGGGGCTTAAAGACACTTAGCATATACAGGCTGAAATATCATTGATCAAAGTTCCAGAACAATGTAATACATTTATAAAGATAATCTTATTTATAAATCCTCTATGAATTCTGACATACTCTGAAAATTAGAAATTAACTACTGCTGTAATTGTTTTTAATTTTTCTACCACAATTTGCAATCAACTTTCCTGCAAACAACAAAACAAAACAAAACAGGCCAAATTAGGTGGTACTTGACCAGGCTAGGATTAAAATAATGGTAACATAGTATCACCAGAGTACACAATTGGCTATGTTGGCTCAGACAGCAACTAATTGAATCATATTGACTTTATCATTCTAGAATAGATATTTTTCTCCAACTTTGCTCAATTTGGCAAAATTCTCAAAGTATTTTTTCGCCAAGAATAGCTATCTCTACAAATGTTCATGTGCACAGAAATGTCAGAATACTACTTCTAATAAATCATTTTTATGAATTTAAAGATACAATTTAGTTCAGATAAACTTCAAATTTACATACATCTTTTGACACTCTACTAAATACCAAGGATGGCTATCTGACATCAACATTAGCAAACTCTATTTTTCTTCCCAGTTCTGGTCTTTTTAGAAATCAAACGTATTAGCAAGAGAATTTTCAATGTTTAAAACATTAAGACTTTCATGGAATTAAAATTACAAAGAACTTCCAAGGAAACACATATATGGAAGAAACGTATTTCAACAGATCTAATAACTAGTTTATAGGAATTCGGAGCCAGCCTGGGCAGCAGTACATTAAAAGCTATTGCCAATCACACACTTGCTATCATGCACTGAATAACAAGATATAATCTTTGAGTTACATACATACAAGATTTTTAATGACTAATCAAGTTATGTGGCCCAGCCAACAAATATTACATATTCACAATAAACATCCTGCCGTTATTAGCCTCTAAGTAAATCAAGAGTGATCCATTGGCTCAGTCATCTCAGCATCTTGACTATCCATCTCTTCAGGCTCTTCCACAGAATTTCCCGTTTGTGCTTTTGACCTTGTGGCAAATGCTGCTCCCAGTGCATCTCCCACACAGCTATCAGTTGTTTCTGTATTCAAATTTTCAGTGCCACCAGTTAAAGAAAAAGATTCATGCAAGCCAGTCTGAAGATTTCCAGGCCTCACAGAAGAACTTACAATTTCTACTTTTCTTTGTGGAAGATCAGATGCTGACTGCTCTGTATTCTGATCCCGCAAATGCTTGTCCATTGAAGCCTGAATAGAAGAAACCATTTCCTGCAATTTTTTTCTCTGGGCCTCAACCAAATCAGGATCAAGCTGCCTGTCTCTCATTGTTACTACTCCAGGAGCTATTCGAATAAGCTCATTGTTACCTGGAGCAGTGGGGAATACTGGAAGCTCTGTTTTAGTGGAACTATTACTGAAGTCTGTCCCTGTATTATGCTTTCTCACAACTGGAGGTTCCCTACCTCTTGGATCAAGGTGGGGGTTACTAGATGCAGTTCCTAGAGAATGCCCCTTTCCCTGAAAGGCTGTTACATTATGAAGTTGCTCAGATTTCTTTTTCACTACTCCACCACTACCTAGTTTTAACAGCCCATGTGAAGGACTTGATTCCCTGCTTCTTGTAGTAGCCTCTGCTCGAACCTGACTTAAAGCCTCTTTAACTAAATCTTCAACATCAGGACCGATGGGGAAATGTCCTGCAGTATCCACACACAACTCCAGTCTGTCTTCAGAAGCATTATACACAAAGGTTTTGCCAGGTAGATGTGGAAAAGTACAATGCTTGCCATCGGCCATACCTAAAGAAAAGGGAAAAATATTCACAAATTAAATCTTCTCTAAGGCATTAGTAAAGGTGTAGTGATGACAATTATAGTTGAAATAGTGAATTTTCAATAGCAATGAACAAATAACAGCTTTCAAAACAAGATTTATCAGAAAATAATTCAGTCTATTACAATAATGAGCATTATCATAGATTTTGTTCCTTAGGGGACTTTAAAAAATAATTATTATTCTATTAGAAAATGTATTTCTATTTACTGAATCAAATAATAATTTCAAATAAACATGGCTCTAAAAAAGTATAAAGTAGGTATAAACTTTCAAAAAGATAAAGTATCAGTTAATAAAACTCCAAGCAGAATTTTCCCTTGATATACTTTTGGCAGAAACAACTGACAAAAAATAAATATGCAAAACTTAAAGATGCTGAAAATGTAGCTTAGTGGAAAAGGGTGTACCTACCACGTTCACGCCCTAAGTTTGGTCCCTAGCACCATAAACAAACAAATAATGGCATTGAATCCATTTACTGTCTTTAATCACCTACTTCAGAACTCTAAAAACCATAGCTCCAGAAACAAAGTAGCAAAGAAGAAGAGAATATTGTAAGGCCAGGAAGAGTTTAAATATCCATTTTACTAGAACAAATCATGAGGATTTACAAATGAACAGATGATAATAAATCAGGTAAGAATAATGATGGGATGTATCGCCTCTCTTGAGAATTAGTAAGTGTATATAAAGCATATACTACAGAGACTAATGTCAGTTAGGGAGTCAATACTGGATCAAGAGGGCTCTGTAATTGTTTCCAGGCTGCTGCTATGATGTTTGACTTTATCTTGGAAAAGTCAGTTTAATACTCATTCATTATAGCATTATTTTTAGTGAAACACTGGGAACCAACTTAAACTTTTCAAAACAACCAGAATAACAAACTTGATGGAGGATAATATGAAACTATTAAAATTTATATTTACAAATAAAGTTATGATACCTGACACACATAATAGTTAAAAATGAATAAAATAGTGCTATGTTTATTCAGACAGAGATAATGGACAAACTTAGAAATGCTCTGTTATTCTTTGTGAAGGATATTAAGAAGGGTTCCTTCCTTCACCCCAAAAAGCTATACAGTAGTTCTAATGTGTCTCTTTAAGAGTACTTTAAATAACTGAAGAAAAGGACTCAATTGGAAATGAATAAATCGCTTAAAATTTATAAAGCATAAAGTTCTCTGAATTTAAGGTTCATTAAAATTTCTCTATCACAGGTTAGATGTAGTGGCATACGCCTATGATCCCAGCTACATAGGGGGCTCGCACTGGGAAGATCTCAGTTCTATGTCAGTCCAAAGAAAAAGTTAACATCACGAAAAGTAGTCAAGAATATGGTGGTATATAATTATCATTCCAGCTACACAAGAAGTATAAATAAGAGGACTTTGGTCTAAGGCTGACATTGGGCAAAACGTTTGAAAATAAACTAAAGCAAAAAGAACCAAGCCATGTGCCAGTAGCTCACACCTATAATCCTACCTACTCAGGAAGCTAAGACCTGAGGATCACAGTTCGAAGCCAGCCCTGTCAAGTAAGAGACTCTTATCTCGAAAAAGCTGAAAATGACATTGTGGCTCAAGTGGTAAAGCACTAGCCTTGAACACAAAGAAACTCAGGCATAGTGCCCAGTACCTGACTTCAAGCCCGAGCACAGCAAAAAAAGGGGGAAGGAGGAGACAGAGGCATGACTCAAGTGGTAGAGCACTTACCTAATAAGCCCCAAGCCTCAGTATCACCTCTCCAACAATTCCTTTACTCCTTACATTAAAGAAATGTACACTATTATTTCTAATTACATGGCTCCTTATATCAAAAATCTGGAAAGTACCCAGCAGTACATCAGCAGAACAATGGATAAACTATGTTAAAAACAATAGAATACTATGCAATCGTGAAAATAAACCATAGTTGAGCCCACCAACATAGATAAATCTGAATACATATTGCATTAAAGGAGCAAGTCATAGAAGAATATATGCAGAATTCCATTTTTACCAAGTTCAAACACAAGCAAAGCTAGGTGCTACATAGTCCTATGAAATCTATGCAAGTATTAAAACAATTTGTCATTCATTTCTGTATTTACCAAAGAAATTTATTACAATTTAAACCAATTATTTTTTTAAATACTTTTCCAAGTAGCTGTAATCCCAGCTACTGGGTAGGCTGAGGGTCCAGGAGGATCACTTGAACTTAAAGATGAAGACCAGTCAAAAAAAGCACAGTAAAATACTGTCTCCAAAAAAAAAAAAAAAAAAAGTCTGCTTTATAGTCAAAATAACTTTATAGTTCAGTCACTTAGCACATGCTAAGCACACACAAGTCTCTGGGATAAACCTTCAACAACACACACACAGAGAACAGAACTTTAAAAAGAAATCCGGAAAGTAGCAACTGGAATTCTAGTAATAGTAGCAAACATTTGCTAAGTGTTTATTAGGCAAGAGGCTCTTTGTTAACTACTTTATATGCATATCTTATTTGACCCTCATAACAACTCTGACATGATCACTTAACAAATAATGAACACTGAGACTGAGCAGTCATACAGGAAGTGATAGAATAAGAATTTGATTTCAGGTGTTTTGACTCCAGAGCTCACTATCTAATAAGAAAAAATACTACATGCAATGTTTTAAAAGATACGACTCAACTGAGATACAATTCACCCACCTAAAGTATACAATTAAAGAGTTTTTAGCATATTCGGAGTTCTTTAATCATCACTAGATGTTTAGAATATTTTCCCTAAAAGAAAATGAATCAGCAGTGACACCTCATTTTCTCCTGCTATATATCTTCTTTATCCAGAAGCAACCCTCAATTTACTGTTTCTCTAGATTTGTCTATTCTGGACATTTCATTATAGTCTTTAGTGACAGGCTTCTTTTACGTACTATGATGTTTTCCTCCATAATGGGGCATGTACCATTTCCTTTTTAAATTACCAAATTAATATTTCATTGTATGGATATACCACATTTTATTCAGTCCTTAAATGATGGACATTTGGGTTATTTTCATATTGGAGTATTATGAAAAATGCTATGAATACTTATGTTCAATCTTTGAGTATATGTGTATTCTCATTTCATTTAGGTACATACTAAAGAAGGGAATTGCTGGGTCATACAGAAAATCTGCTGAATGTCTGGAGAACTGACAGACTCTTTTCTTAAGTGGCCATGCCATTTTACAACTCACCAACAGTACATGAGGATTTCAATTTTCTTACATCTGTGCCAGCAGTTCTTATTGACTCTTTGATGATTGGCACTGTTCATGTGCTTGTAAACATTTATTTTCTTTTTTTTTTTTAATTTTATTTTATTTTATTTGTGAACATACTGTACAACATTTATTTTCTTTGGAGAAATGTTTGTTCAAATCCTTTACCATTTTTTAATTGAACTATATCTCTTTTTTGTTTAGATGTTATGAGTTCTTATTATTCTAGATATAAGCCCATTATCAGATACATGGTTTGCAAAAAGAATCCTTTTATTTTGTATATTGTCTTTCAGCTCTCTTGATAGTGTTCTTTACAGCCCAAAAGTCTGTTTTGCTTAAGCTTCTGGTGCTATAATAGGTTTTATCTAACCCAAGATCAAGAAATTTTCTATCTATATTTTTTCCCAAGATTCTCCTAGATTTTTACCTCTTACATTTAGGTCTGTTAGGTCAAACTTCCTTTTTTTGTATGTGGATATGTCCCAGAACCATCTACTGAAAAATTTATTTTTTATTACTACTAATGTCTCTTTTTGGCCAGTACTAGGGGGTTGAACTCAGGGGCCTCGAGCTCCCTGGGCTTGCTTGCTCACGGCCAGCAGCACTCTACCTCTTGAGCCACGCCCACAGCCTGGCCTTTTGCTGGTTAATTGGAAATGTAGTCTCGTAGAATTTTCTGCCTGGGCTGGCTTCGAACTGTGATCTTCCAGGTCTTGGCCTCCTGAGTAGCTAGGATTAAAGGCGTAAGCCCATGGCACTAGGATGAAAAAAAAAAATTCTTACCCCAGTGAATGGTCTCGGCACTACAGTTAACATTTTTTCAATACTTTCAAACTAGAAATATAAAAAGTATTTAGAAGATAACCAAAGCAGCCACTGTCATATCAACCTCTTATCTCTCTAACTTCCTCCCATTACAAGAAACAACTAAGGGAAGTCATTTTCAGTTGCATGGAAGACAGATATTTACACAAATTACTAAGATCCTCCTAATTGTTTCTAATATCTAATATTTAAAAACCATTAATTGACATCAACACATTTCACAAAGTATGATGAAAGAAAAAGATGGACAGTTAAAAGGGATATTATATATTATAGGCCCATGTCTAGAATCCTTACTACTGAGAATCTCAGCCTGGGCAGATAAATCTAAGAGACTTTTTATCTCCAAATAACCAACATCAAGCTAGAACTGTAGAAATGGAGGCATGGCTCAAATGTTAGTGTGACAGTCCTGAGCTAAAAAAGCTGAGTGAGAGCAGGAGGCCTATGCAAGCCCCAGTACCAGCACAGACACAAACAAAAAGGAATTCAACCCCCAAGAAAACACAAGGGGAAAAAAAAAAGAAATCAATGAAACAAACAGAAAAGACAAAAATAAATCAGTGAATCCAAAAGTTGTTTCTTTGAAAAGATCAATAAAATTGATAAATCACTAGCCACACTAGTCAGAAAAAGTGTGTGTGTATGTGTATGTCATAAATTGCTAATATTAGAAATGAAAGAGCTTCGGATCTTACAGACATTAAAAAAGAGCAATAGGGATTATTATGAACAACTCTGTGTCAATGTATTTGTTAACTTACGTGAAATGAACATATTTCTTGAAAGACAAAACTATCAAAGTTTACTCAAGAACTTAACTTTAAGAACATATCTTGGGTGGGGAGAGGGAGGAGAGGGGGAGTGTAGTTGTGGAGGTGGGAGGGAAGGGAGGG